CAGTATGACTTGTCAGGTGCCATGCCTGTAACGATCTGCCACGTGATCCTACTTTAAGTTGCTACTCCACTCATACTTTTTTCTTTTCTTTTTTCTTTTTCTTTTTTTTGAGAGAGAGACAGAGTGCAAGCAAGGGAGGAGCAGAGAGAGGGAGACACAGAATCCGAAGCAGGCTCCAGGCTCCAAGCTGTCGGCACAGAGCCCGACTCAGGGCTTGAAGTCACTAGCCTTGAGATCATGACCTGAGCCAAAGTCGGACCCTTAACCGACTGAGCCACCCAGATGCACCTACTTGTACTTTTTTTATAGTTGTTATCCCTGGTGAACAAATGACAAACTTTACACGGTATTTGCCTGGTTTTGTTCCCGGATATATCTCTAACACCCAGAATAGAACCTGACCAATGGTGAATGCTTAATAAATATTAATTTGAAAACATTAATTTGAAAATGAACTTTCCCATAAACGTATCCCATTTGACTTTTCACAACAACCTCCTGAAGCAGACAGTGAAAGTATCATTGCTCCCACTTTATAATTTTTTTTTAGTGTTTATTTATTTTTGAGAGAGAGAGAGAGTATGAGTTGGGGAGGGGCAGAGAGAGAGAGACAGAGAATCCGAAGCAGGTTCCAGGCTCTGAGCTGTCAGCACCGAGCCCAACATGGGGCTCAAACCACAAACCGTGAGATCATGACCTGAGCCGAAGTCGGACGCTCAACCAACTGAGCCACCCAGGTGCCCCTCATTGCTCCCACTTTATAGATGAGGAGAGAGAGGCCTAGACAATGGAGAGTTGCTTGCCTGAGGTCACATGGCTGATAAGAAGAGAGCTTCTGACTTGGCAGGCCAGGCTTTCTACCAGCTATGGTGCAACCTTCCTAGGGGCATTCAGAAATGCACCCTCTGCCTCTTGTATTTCCCTTCCCAGGGCTTTGGGCTTGAGAAGCTCTGTTGGGTAAATAGTTTCAGTTTTCCAACTGGCTACAGGCCATGGGGTCTACAGGCCAGAAGCAGCATTATCTCTTTGAAGTCTTCCTGTGGAGGCCAAAACCTAAAGTTCTCAATGACCCAGAGACATGAAGACACTAAAAGGTAAGGGTGTCAGGATCTATCTCTGTGGACCTTGCCCTGGACTGCACTGCACTGTCGGTGTAAAGTTAAACTTTAAATCCGCGTGTCTAACCGGTGGTTGCCAGGTCATTCTGGTCTGGATGAGCCTTGCTTTAGCCCAGAGGGAACAGAACACACGCTCCTCTCAAGCTTTGAGCTGCTATTCCACTCAGAGAATGTCTAGTGAATGAGTGTATGTTCATATCAAAGGGAAATGGCACCAGATGGAGAAAGTACTCAAGTCGGTACATTTGAAATGTTTTGTGGTGCTTTTAGGGGGTGGAGAGGAAGGTTTGTCTCCTTTAAGAAAAGCCTCTTGAGAGATAGCTTGCAGATTGTTAGCTAGAAGCAAGTTTGAGGTTATTGTAAAAGCAGTCATTTTCATGCTTATTTTATTTTAGAGAGAGAGATGGTGAGTGAGCAGGGGAGAGGGGCAAAAATAGAGAGAGGATCTCAAACAGGCTCTGCACTCAGCTCAGTGTGGAGCCGGACGTGAGGCCAATCTCACCACTGCGAGCTTGTGGCCTGGGCCAAAATCAAGAGCCACTTGCTCAACCAACCGAACCACCCAGGCACTCTAAAAGCAGTCATTTTTAAAATAGAAAGTTTTTGGGGCGCCTGGGTGGCGCAGTCGGTTAAGC